AGTAGTTAGCTTTTGCGAACAAAACTTCGGAAACCCTTTTCAAATGACTCAAGGCTCGTCTACGCTAACCAACACCATAATCGGGTTGCCCCTATGCGATGATGCTGTTAATTTGCGTTTGGTTGGCGAAGAAAGAACTATCAAAGTTTTGTTTATAAAAGTTGATAGTACCGTTTCAATTGTTGGTCTACAATACATTGGATAGGTTCCGCTTTTTTATAGAGCTAATTTCTATTCGCCATACTATAAATATATGTATACAACCATTCCATAGCAAAACGATATAGTGGTTCTCAGAATTTTGTAACAATTGGTAGTTTTGTTCCTTATCAAAAACTATTAAACCCGTTTTTTTTTTTTCATTAGGGTGACCATTTCCATGTAAAGGTGGTCCAAAAATCGTTTTTTTCTATTTTTCCATAAATGAGATTTTTTTAAATCATAACTTTTGAACCACTGGGCCGATTCGAATGATCAAAATATCAAAAAAGGGATGACACCAAGTTATATCAGAGAAGAATACCAAAGGACAGACTACGAAAGTCTCATGTAAAATTAAGTTCTCTGAGGACCGATTTCTTCATCTCCGCTTAAATCTTAAGCCAGGTTTACCTATATAGTTTGGTAATCATTCCATTATAATTGAGAGTGCATTTTAATGAAAGTTCTGAGAAGAATTCTATGATGATTGAGTGAGGATTCTAGGTTCAATTCTAATAAGAATTAAAAATTAGTTCTGAAATTTTGCTTAAGGAAACTTGATGAAAATTCTATGAAAATCTCGTGAACTCCAAAAATGCTCTCTGAGGATAACTCTATCAGAATTCTGGGGTGATTTCTGAAGAAACTTCCCAGATAATTCTAAAGAGTTCGAAATAAATTCCGAGAAGAATTCCAATGGAATCAAATTTTGAGGATTTAATCTCAAAGAATTTCTGGGAAGAGTTTCAAAGTTATTCTGTGATGGATTTTTGTTTTGAGAATTCTGAGGAAATACTATGGTAATTCTAAGGAGAATACGAATTGAATTTCCAACTGAATGCAGGGGAAAAAAGCATGATTATTCTAAGCAGAAATTCTAAGCATAGAAATTCTAAAGAGAATTAAAAAAAAAATTAAAAATGGATTTATTTTTTCAGGGAGTTCCTAGAATAATCAGTAAAAAATCGAAAATAATCTACTTTAACTAATCATGTGTTATCACTTCATGCGTGAATTTAACGATTAACAGAGTCGGAGATACTTAACGTCAAATATCAGACTTAAAATACAGATTTTATACCATAGATGAGGAGATTAAATTATAGAGTTGATAGCTCCGTTATAGTACGGCAGTGTGAAAATTGTATATACAAAGTAGAAAGCGAGCAAGGACAATTTTGAGGAAGGTACGAATCTGGTAGTTGTTTACGTCAGATGGTGACTTGAGTGTTAAACAATCGATAGAAATGTTTTCGCACATCGGAGGTACATGAGCAAATCGGCGATCATCCCTTTTGCCAGTCGTGGCAGAGGGAAACACCCCTCACCATCCCTCATTAACGGATGAGCTTGGTAAAGGAGATACTCTACCCGTACCTTCCTCAAAATTGTTCGCTTTCTACTTTCTATATACAAATTTCACACTGCCTTATTATAACGGAGTTATCAACTCTTTACTTTCATCTCATCATCTATCGTATAAAATGTCCACTTTAATTCTGATATTTAATGTTAAGCATTTCCAATAACGAAAATAATCTATTTCCAAGAATTTTGTTGATTGTTCTGCAAAGAATATCAAGAATGCAATATTAGTTTTTGTAAAAACTTATTTTCCTAAAAGCTTAAGAGAAGGGGAATTATTCAAAAAAGTTCCTAAGATCATTCTGAAGAAATTCTGTGAAAAGTTCTTAGCGAATTGTCAAAGTTATCTAACTAGATATATCAAAATTTTAAACAGTTCGAACGCAGAATTTCTATTAATACCAAATAAATGGTTACTTATTTAACATTTACTTCTTTTTTATTATTTTTATTATAGTCACTTTAACGTTCTTGGGTCATTCGTGACTTGTCTGGGGGTGAGATTTGAACTCGTGACTTTGACGTGAGAGGTATGGATGCTAACCACTGCGCCGGGGTCGCCCCCTAGTATTTACAAGTCACTATTTGCACACTATTTCCGTAATTTTAGTCACTAAAGTCATTAAAGAGATTTTTAGCCTTAGGCTAGTTCATCTCTAACTAAAGTCATTACTATTATATCGCATCAGCACTACCAGCCCTGGTCTCAGAGTACAGAAAGTGACATGATTTTTTCTTAGGGTTTAGTCGACATCGCCACTGCATGGCTTCCGACAAAGGAGCCTCACGCATCTCTAGCAAACGCGTGCAAGAAGAAGAAAACATCGGGATAGACCTTGCCTGGAGCCGAACGGCCGCCACGGTTGTCATCGAACGATCCCAAGGAGACCGATCAACGATTAGAGTGAGGAACCTCATTTCACTCAAAATTTGAACATGTACCACCCTTATTACGAGTATTTGGGCATGACAAGGTGATGATTAAACCAAAACTAACAGATCAAAAAATTTGGTTATGCCGTTTGTTTTTGAGACCCTATGTGAAAAAGGTCAATGGGCTTTGTACGTACCGAGAAATCAACCAAAAGTTAATAAAAGTTAATTTCGTACATCCACCAAATTTACTGATCCATTACAACCGAAGCATCAAATGCACTGGAACTGTATATGCCCAAAATTCTTTCTGTTTCGACTGCTTGCCAGAGAAAAGAAGCAATCACAACGTCACTCTCAACAAACAATTTGAGCTGATTAAAGACTTGATAAGCTATTTTTTTAGCTTAAGAAGCATAGTTTTGCCTGAATAGGCTCTTATTCAGCTTGCAATGTTTGTTGAGCTGTCATTGAAACCGGATTTTCAAAATACAGTCAGCTCTTCTTTACCTCGTATTCTCTAACTCGCTGTTTTATCCTGGGTACTGAGAACTCAATCAAACTGCTTGAAAATTTTCTCAAGTGTCGAATTGTGTTGTTCTTTTTCAATTGAATCCCACCAAAAGCTCTAAGCCAGGAGTGCTCGAGTCAAAAATTCAAAAAAATATTACATAAAGCGCACGTTCCCGTTAAATGGTTTTGGTTGCTTCGGCGCACTTATTTCTGGCTTCATAAGGAATAAGTGCACCAAAGACACCGAAGATAAAACGACAGACGTAACTCTTTAAATAAATTTCCCTTACAAATATCGTCACGGAACTCACTAACGATATCTAAGGAGTCATTCGCCTCCTGTTTAACAGTTCACATTGCCTCCCAGTTGACGAGTATATTGAATGAGTCCTCAGCATCCAGATTGTGTATCCTCCCTTATTGGATGGTCAAATATACCATCGAGTTTAATGTATATGATAACCAAACCAGATTAGCCAAAGCTAAATAGATTGACACTCCAATTCTCACCTGAAATCGGTGCTGTTATACGCCAATCAAAACGAGGGATACTCAAAAGCTGTATTTGACAATTGGACCGCAGGCTGCTGTGTATAAATCGAGTCTCAGTCGAGGACCTCGAATGCCGAGCTCAGCCGTCGATGTCATCAGAAGCCGATATCAACACAAATTCGAGAACGTAAGAGTATGTGGGCGCTGGATCGGAACCCAGCAGGACATCGCAGCAGAGGCAGATCCATGGAATCGGGGAAATTTAATCCGGTCAGGACGAAAGCAGACAAAACGCTCTGGATGAACAATTTTCACGTTGGCCCTATACTTGGGGCGGTCAGAATACATGTGTTTTGTACCCTGACAGTAGGCAAGCACTTTTCCTTTTACACGGTAAGAAAAAAGTGCCCAAAAGTAGTTCTTTTCACTAATTTCGACACTACAGAGCAGGAAGCCAAAAGTATACACGGATAGAAATCTCCTTATACCTTTTGGCAAATTTCTATTACTGATTATTCATAAAATGTATAAGTCAACTAATAAACAGACGCCTTGCAAAAAGTTAATGAAGATCATGTGTCAAATGAAATGTATAATTGGTCACACATACCTTTTATGCATTCTTATAGGACCTATGTGGATTGTCTTATAGAATGTATAAGGCTGATGCTTTGGCAAAAATGTATAAGTGAAACACATAAAAATTTATTATTAAAATTATAAAAATAATTGATTTTCGTTTCGTGTAGGCAAAGCGGGTCAAAATAGTTTTCACTTACTTGTGTGCAATTCGTATGGAATTTTCCACACGCTTTGAACCCAAAAGTAAGTTAGTTGTTCCCAAAAGTAGGTGAATATGATTATACTAAACGTTGGGTTCCCACACATTGGATGGTTTTGCTCTTCCGTTTTTGACAACATTAGAAGGAGAAAAGGAGACAAACAAGTCAAAAGTAGATAACAGTGAGCTGGCCACTGGGAACTTTTTTCTTGCCGTGAATATACATAATCAATTTCGGATCAACCCAGACTGTCATCAATCGCCATTCATGTTTATATCCCTGTCAGTTATGCTATTACAGAAATAAAAACTAAGCGTATCTCCATGATTTACCTTAAAACATGATTCGTGTTGTAACCTGAAATCTCTACTGAGGCTACAACAATTTCAATGCATTTGAAAACAATAGGCGGGATGTATTTACAAGAAAAGATCAACTAAGAAGAAGAGTAGAAGGGGGGGGGGGTAGGTAAACAAAACCAAATCATCGGCGGATGTAGTTGTAGTAGTAGTAATAGCAGCAGTAGTAGTAGTAGTAGTAGTGATAGTAGTAGTTTATTGTTGTACTGTAAAGAGCTGTTGTTGTGGACGTTGTTGGAACCGAAATAGCTAGTCGTGGGAGAAGTCTGTAGCCGTGTAACTGTTGTTGGTATTTAGGTAGTTGATATGTAGCTGATTTGTAATACTCAACCAAAAATGAGATAACGAAAACCAAGTTGATGGATTCTTGTTGTTCTGAAAGGTTGATAGAATAATTTGTCAGAATATGCATTACCTTGACCCGCTGCAGATCGATCGGACTCATAATGGTCCCCTGGAAGAACTCCACGGTGGTGAAATGACGCTTGAACAGACCTTCCAGCTCCAGATCGGGTGGTTTACTTTTGTGTGTTTTATTTTGTGAAAGGAGTTTCGATTTTTTTTTGTCATTGATTCAGGTTTCGGGTTCGTGTTTGAGGTGAGAGCAAGCAAATAGGCAACGAAATGATTCGATAATTTCAATAAACGGTCGTTTGTTTTTGTTGTTGTTTGGTTTTTAGTTGTCATTGAATTAACACCGAAAACAGGGGAAAGATCGCGGTCATTACATTCATCGTTATTTAAATTTTTCGTTTTTAGTTGAAGCGTGGATGAACAAACAAGTGGCATTCGCGAGAGATGGATTGAAAGAGAAATTAATTGTCGTTAGTTCTAGGGTTGAATCAAACAGAGGAGTGGATAAATCACGCTTCAATATCAATCTGATGAAGAGTAAGTTTTTAGATCTGGATTGCTAGGGGGATTACTTCGATCAATTATAATATTAAAAGGTCATTTTCTTTATTCATCATCTGAAGCTGTGGCTGCAGCTAAACGCGGAATTCGATCGTTAGTATACAGAAGTTATTGAGGACAATTGAAAGTTGCTTTAAATTAATTGCTTTTTTAAATGAAAGGAAATTGTACGCATACTGGCAATTGGAAAGAGCTTACAAATCGAATTGGAATTGAAAACAATAAGTAGCAGTAAAAATTTCGTGTAAGAAAGATGCGGCATTCCAAAATAATCTATTGTTCATTGCTGATAAAATTGAGAACAGAAAAACTGATAGAGAAATTGCGAATAAATGAAGATATTACGATGAAGACGAAATAAAAGCAACGGCTTAGTAGAAATAATTTCAGAAATTTAGTAGATAGGCATTACCTTAAACATGCAATCGAATTTGTGAATTGGTAGCGAAAGATTCCACATCTCAACGCAGATAACTTTACAACCTGTGGAATATTTCACTACCAACAACGATAATAGTTAATGTAACATGGAATTGTAAAAAAAATTGTGATCATATTAAATATTTTTCTGAAGAACTATTCGAAGCGACAGCGGTACTACTGGATCCGTTTGCAGAAGCACTCTTTGTATAATACCTACGGAGGTGAATTTAACAGAGCTTCTATCCTATATGCGAGCGGAACGGATGTGGCTGTGGTCACAGTCCTCAGATTTGTATTCTACTGTCGAACCAAATTTAAGAACCGACTCCTTCAAATGGAAAAGTGCGTCGCTGCCCCGGTTCACCAGCGAGCTTTTCTTTGGTGAGGATCAGTATTGAGAATCGCCTGACGGTTGGGGTCATGCATGAAGATCATTGAGACTACGTCGATTAAGTTGAAACCTCGAGAAAATGTATGTTTTCAAAATTTTGCTCAGTGCTTTTCATGGGTAACTGGGTGAAAAAAACTTGGTAGCTCATGGAAAAGCATACTCAGAATGTTGAAAAATTCAACGGAATTGATAACTTCGCTGGAAGATACCGAAAATTTGATTTCATTCAGAAGCAGATGTTTCATGAATCGATCCGGTCACTTCAATTTCCGTGGAATATACATTTGCTGAAATATTTTTTTAAACTTGAACATGGCTGGAGCTGGTTCCACCAGGGTCTCGTTGGGAACAATTCATTCTTATCACCAAAACGGCATGCCATGCAACGTATGAAACTTTATGATTTTGCATGATCAAGATAATAAAGAATATCCACGCCAAATAGCAAAATAAATAATTTCAGACTCGACCTTCTCCGATTTGCTTGAAACTTTGCATAATTGTTTATTGTCAATCATTCACATTTGAGCCATTCGGCCATTCTGAACCTGAAAAATGGCGATTTCGATATTGTTTCAACAAATCATAACTCAAAAACGTCGCTTTCAATCGAAATTACGACTTAGACAAAGTTGTATGAAAAACTAATTCCTTTTCAGGAAAAATATACCAAAAAAAGTGTTTAATACTTCAATAACAAAAATTACCCTTTTCAAAATGTTTGAATCTGTTTCATTTGAAAGCTTACAAAAATGCTATCTTTTGAGAAAATTTCAAGTTTGACATTAAAAAACTAACAAAAATCATAGAACAACAACTTTTGGTCATATTTTGAGACAATTTGCTTATAATTTTTTTCATTGTTAATTTGAGTGACTCAAATTTCACAAAAACTTGGTTAAACAAAAAATTTAAAAAAATTGTCCAAAAGTTGTTGTTTTAGGATTTATGTTCACTTTAAATTTTCACTGAAGATAGCATTTTTATAAACTTGTTAATGAAAAATATTCTAAAAATATTAAAGTTTTTTTTAAGAAGTACAAAAATACATAGTCACATTTCATAAAATTTCTTAAAAGAAAACTTAAATAATAAAATTGAGAAAAATTGCTTATGGATAATTTTTTTCACTTCTGGTAGGGTTTGTCACTATCAAATTGATCTTTGATAAAAAAAAATAAGATCTGAATTAGGTCAATGTTCAAAAACATCCCAAAATTCAAACATAATTTTACATGTTTCAACCGTTCCGCTTTGTATAGCATGTACCTATTTAAGAAAGAAAAAATATAGCATGAAATACCTCAACTATTTTTTTGCTAAGATTTTGTTCTAGTTACCGTAATTCAGGGGCGAATTGATCACCGGGGTGGGTGAAATTGATCATTATGAGAACTAGGGTAGATGTACCAGTTATGGCTATACGTTCCTATTGTTGTGTGTTCCAATTATGGCCTATGGGAATTCCATAGGCCATAACTGGAACATACCATAATAGGAACGTATGGCCATAACTGGTACACCTACCATATGTAACATAGAATTTTTTTGGTGATAGATATCAAGAGAAATCTTGATAGCATTCCATCATGACACTCCAATGATTGCATTGAAAAGTTTCTTATAACAAAAAAGGCTACTGCATAAATTTCAATTTTATTTAACTGACATTCAAGAGCATTAAATATCAGTATTCGAACAAACGGTCATAGGGTTGCAATGATTGTTGTCCCTAACTTGAAAGTGGTATTTTTCATTAAACTAAGTGACAATGAATGAAAATTATTTATAAAATAACGGCCAAATGTTTGCAATAGTTATTGAGAAAACAATGGTTTTCTGCGAAATTAACAGTGATTTTTTTAATAAATTACCTACATTTACGCTCTGCTATTCATTTTAAGGTTCAATTTACTTTGATACATTTTCGAAAAATTCAAATGTAGTTTTTTCGACGCATCATTTCAGATTGCAAAAAGCTCCAATCATTCTACTCTTTTTGCTATTATACACAAAATGACGCGAGTTTTTTGCAATCTGAAATGATGCGTCGAAAAAAACTGTGTTTGAATTTTTCGGAAAGTCATCAAAGTAAATTGAAGAAATCTATTTTGTAATTTCTGACGAAAATACACTTCGTAATAGGAATTTTAGCATCTGATTCGGATTTAGAGAATCCAAATTTATTAAGAACAGTTACTAGACATTTATTTGAAAGTCATTTATGGAGTTGATCAATTTCATCCCATATCGATATTTTCGAATTTGAGATTTCAAAAATGACCTACCGTATGCGTGATAATGTTTGCACCATCGTCCAAATAAGGTTCCCGTTTCACCTGTGCATACAATGCCTTGATATTCTTTGCATGCACGTAACCTATAGATCATACCGCAGTAGGCTGTGTATAAAAGAAAATGATTTACTTAGTTTGACAGTTGCACCATGACGAAGTGGCAGCATATTCGTGATTTGTCCCATTCGCAAATGTCGCAAAAAGACATTTCAATCGCCGTGGGAGTGTCCCGGTGGACCGTCAAAAGGGTTTTAGACCGAGAAAAGAAAGGACAACTATCCGCGAAGGTGGCCACAGGTCGTCCGAGGTCAGCTCGGGTTCCGAGGGTTATCGCTGCTATCAAAAGGAAGATTCGGGTGAATCCAGTGCCTTCAATAATGAAAATGGCAAAGGAACACGGGATTAGTGACTTTACGGCACGGAAGATCGTTAAGGAAGATTGCGGGGTGAAGTCGAGGGCACGAAAAAAAAAAACTCACATGATCTTGAACTTCCTTAAGCGAAAAAATCCGGTAATCCTGTTGACCGACGAGAGCATGTTTACCGTCGATCCCGTATCAAATTCCAGAACCGACCGGTATATTAGTTCTCTTCCGGTAAAAGACGTGGCCGACGAGCACAAGAACGTGTATCTGACCAAGCATCCTGCTAGCGTTATGGTGTTTGGATTGCTGGCTTCCGATGGCAAAAAAAAATGGACCCGGTGTTCATTCCAGAAGGCGACAAGGTCAACACGGCGGTCTACATCGGGATTTTAAGTAATTATGTTCTTCCGTTGATCAAAGAACAGTACGGTCCGAAGCCAAATGTTGTATTTCAACAATATGGGGCTCCGTGTCACACCTCGAACGGCACTCAGAAGTGGTTGCAGGAACATCTTCCGTTCTGGGCGAAGGATACGTGGCCGCAATCCAGCCCTGATCTTAATCCGCTGGATTACTCATTATGGCGCATCATGAAGGCCAAGGCCTGTTCTAAACGCCACTCGAGTACTGCAAGCCTCAGACAAACATTGACCCGTACCTGGAGAAAAATGGATCCAGACTACATTGTTAGAACCTGCCGTGCATTCCGGGAGCGTGTGGAGGCCGTAATTGCAGCAAGTGGAAACTCGATCGATGATTAACATAGATTAAGACTTTGAGAAACATCCCCCTTTGAATAAATAAAAAAAAACTCGAAAACGAAATTTTTGAGATTTTTTTTTTATTTTGACATTGCTCAATGGTGCAAACATTATCACGCATACGGTAATAATAAACAAAACACTCAATATGATTAATAGACATGCAGAACGATTGAGACCACATAGCTACTGCTTTTAATACCATAAGCACATACAAACAGACATAACGCAATGAGTGCTTTTCAAGTAAAACATCGCCATTAAAACACTACCGCCATCTGTTGAGTACACAGTCATGGGCTCTACGCTCAACAGATGGCGGTAGTGTGTAAATGTCAAACGCAGGGGAATATACTATGCGTGCCACAG